CCTGAGATCAAACCCACAACCTTGGCTGATCAGGATGATGCTTTAACCAACTGAGCCACCAGAACAGGGCCCTTTTCACTGTTAAATGTCCTGGTCTGCATGAAAAAATTACATGGTCACCCTAGTTATACCGTGTGGAAGTATCTTTTTTAAAGCATCTGTGTTTCAAAAGAATTTGTCATTTGTAGGCTCAGATTAAAAAAATTTTTAGGTTTAGTGGGAACTTGTAGATGTGATTTTCAAGTTTCATCAGTAATCTCTAAGGAACCAGAAAACAGAAGAGGTGCCAGAACACTGAGCTTGGGCAAAAATAAAATTTAGGGAGTGAAGTTGGATTAACTCACAGCACAGCACCTACAGTGCTGTTAGAATCACCCTTTCACCCATCTATTTTAACTTTGAGCCCTGTGATGGCAGGGGCAGTCTCTTGTTCACTATTCTATCCTTAGCCTGGCAACAGTAGATAATTAATGCTTGCTGAATAGTAAATGTTTTATAAATCATACAAGGTATTTTGTCAACTCCGTATAGTCTGTCTTTCCCCAAGGCTGAGTGACTAAGCTAGGGGTCAGATCTACCTCACAGAAGTTTTCAGTACCTCTGCAGACTCTGCATTGCCCAAGGGGGCACTGGCATGTCATTCTGATAGTGTCAGATTTTAATCAATTCTAGGCTAAAAATTAGGACCCCATAGCCAATTTAGGATATAGAATTAAAGGTGATAGCAGGTAATTGTTTCACAGATGAGCCATCAGAGTCCATTCCAGTTATGGTGATGCTTTCTTGTCCTTTGTTCATCTTATGTAATATGGCTCCCTCCTATCCACAGATTTAGAGATCACTTACAGTGCTCTAGGACCAGGCTGCCCAGAACACAGAGTTCTGCTTCCAGGGCACTCATATGGTGATAAGGAAAGGGGTACATGTACTTCCAACTTTTTATTAGACTGGTACTCTAAAACACATAAAGGGCTTTTGGACAACAGGAGTGATCAATGTCCTAGGCATTGGAGAATGGATAGAAGGAATTTATTAAATGTAGGGGAGGGGAGAGGAAAAGGGATATTTTAGAGAAGTAATTTGTAAGCTGCCGTTTTCCTCACCTTGTGATACAAAAACCTATTATCTAATGGCAGACTGGGCCTTCCCCAGTGTGTTCTGCAAGAGGGAGCTTTGACACTTCAACTAAAGGCTCATGGATTCATATAGCTTCTCGTTCTGATTAAATTAATCTAAAAACCGAACTGGAAGAGCTTGTGACTGTGTTATCTGTATTCTGAGTAAAATGTTCACAATGTGATATTTATTTATGATGAATTAAATTAGTAAATCTCAAATACAGAAATATTTTATAAATATAGCTTTATTACTTGGAAGTACATACAAAAATTCAAACACAGCTTAAAAAAAATAACAGTTGCCAAGCAGAGGTTCTATCCAACCGGTTTTAATGAACACACAGAACAGTTATAATCAGCATAAAACAATTTTAAGTCATGAAACAACTTATTGTCCTCAGGGTCTTTAAATATTGGACTTAAAAACTGGTTTTTGTTTTATTCTTTACACCTATTTAAATCTTTTCCCTAAATATAGACGACTAACATTTCAGTTTGGTTCATGAGATTTTTATTCAGAAAAATAGGTAAACCCTTTGCTAGAATTTTAAAAACTGGAATACTGTATGTCCATTTCTACCCTCCTATTGCCTCACATTCTCCATGGTTTCTCAAAAATTCCCAATAGTTGCTAACAAAGAAAGCACTTATAACTTCAGTAGCTCTTTGGAATAATGAAGTTTGGGCCTAAGAGTCTTGAAATTATTTAAGGATGCGAGGTTTTCCCCCACCTTGCGATTTTATTTGTGGCCAGCCAGACTATATCTCATCAGAGAAAAAAAAAAAAAAAAAACCACAAAAACTCAGTTATTTTGCTTTTCCCTGATTGTTGGTAATCCATTACTATTTTATCCGTTCTTTTTTGCTGTTGGGTTTGTGTGTTTTTCCCCATGTCGTCTTGGCAACTTTAGCATGCTCTTCAAATTTAATTCATTCTGAGCTTTAACATTTCAGTTATACATTTCACTCTCCTCTTTTTGGCCTTTATCGTGCCAGTTATTTCTTCTTTCGTACATGATTTTTGACAACTAGACTTCCATCAGAGGATTGAGAGATGCTTTAGGTCAGGGGTGGGGAACCTTTTTTCTGCCAAGGGCCATTTGGATATTTGTAACATCATTCATGGGCCATGCAAAATTATCAACTTAAAAATCAGTCTTCTATATTTGGTCATTTAATTAACTCACCCTAATCTTTGGCAGGGCCAGACCAAATAAATGGTTTTGAGGGCCATATGTGGCCCTTGGGCCAGATGTATAGATGCCCGATCTCTAAATGTTGAGAATTCCATAGTTTTCATCCTTTAATGGCCCCTCACTACCGGAACGCTGTTTGGAAAGCTAGAAGAGTCTGCTTCTAGCTCTGGTTTTGCACTTAATTGTGTTCTTTAGACTTTCATCCCCTCTTCACAGCTGAGGAGGAACCCGTGGCTCAAGGTAGATGGGATAAAATGAGAAGACTTCCACCTACAATACTCTATTCATGGAGAATGGATACGGAGTCGTCTAAATTGTGAGTTCTAGATTTCTGGAAGTTCTCTTTATATGTCTTTGCAGTCTCTTCTATCTGTTCTTGTATCTCTGCAGTCACTGTCTCCGTTCTGGCCATTGCCTCTCCGCTGCTAGACTCATCTTATTATACCTACATCAGCAGCCATAGTATTCTCTTAGAATTAAACATGAACATACTTCTCTGCTTAAAATCTGCTGATGGATCTCCATTGCCTATAAGGCACAGTACAAACCCCTTAGGTTGGCATACGAGGCCCTGCAGAATCAGCTATTTCCCAAGCCACCTCCCCATCCACCACACACTAGCTCTGCAACAAGAACTTATTTTCTGCAATACATTTTACTGTTTTTGCACTTAAGCTTAATGAGTTTTTATAAATTGTCTTAAATTCCTGATGGGTGCAGAGTCCTTCAGGGGTACAAAATGTACCCAAGGTCATTTTGCATCCCATTCATTCAATAAACATTCTCATGATGACTGCTAAGTATCTAGAAATGCTAGCTATTGGTGATGTGGACAAAAATTCAATATCCTTACCCTCAGTGGCTTCAGTCTAGAAAAGATAATGGTAGTGACACTAAGTCCCAGTATGTGTGAATGCTAAATAATGCAGCCTCAAATTCACTCATTTTTAAACAGCCACCCAATTATCTTAGATCACAATGGACATGTATTCCTTGGGCTTTTCAAATGAAATCTCAAGCCAGGGCTCTGCAACCCAATACTTGTGTTATCTTTTATTTTTTTAAAGACAATTATAAGATTACAAATAATTCCAGTTAATTGCACATGCTACTTATGGTTTTGTGTACTATAGCTTGTTGACTATTTGTGAATTTTCATCCTGGCCACCTCAGATTTGGTGCATCCTCTGACCTAAAAACTACAACTCTGATTTCAAAGTTATTGATTAAAAGTAATGAAGGTCCGACCTTTAGGAAGCTGTCCTGTTTTTCTGGTTAATCTGATAAAATACACTACATGTGCCCCTTATCACCTTATTGATGACGTTTATTATTGTGAATGGAATAATGGATAAGTCATGCATAAGTAAGACTTCTAGGCTGATTTTTAAAAATAACGATCATTAAATATCCATTATAAATATTCACTTTATTTTGAAAGAATTGGAAGATGTTACATATATTACATACTACATATAATGGCACATGTCAGCCTTTTATGCTTAAAAATAATCTCTCCCCAAACTGGGATTGACTTAGACTCCAAATATAAAAATGACTCTTGGCCTATAGCACCAACCCAAGCCCAGAGGAAAGCCCATTTTGAACCTGCCTGTCCTCTGGCACTGGGCTTCCTGAATGATACTGAGGGTCCTCGCCCTCTGATTTTGTTCCCTGGCAGCGCTGAGGCCTGGCACAGGGACCCGTCTGACTGTACACTGCAGGCCTGGAGATCAGAGAATCTAGAGGATGGGGTCCTCTGATAATTTCACAATGGAAAAAACTAAAAACTTATGTGCCTATTGTCTTTATTTTTTACCTATACAATTACTAACAAGATTACAAGAAAGGAGGTTAGAATTATGAAGTACAATTTGCTGGTTTTTCTCTTTGGAAATTGAAGTGGCATGATCGGAGGAGCCTTAAAAATCATATAGTTCAATACTGGTAACCTGCTCCACTAGTATTTCCCTTTCCCAGCGTTAGGTATAATTCAGTTAGACAAACACATAGAAATTTAATAACACCTTTCATTTTCTTTTTCTTAATTCATCTGCCAAATCATCTGGCTTGTGATTCTTCTCCTCTTCAAAGTATGTTTGTTAAACATTAAGAATCCAAAATATGCCCCTATGGAATTTTCATAAGCAATAGCCAACCAATCAGTAAAACACAGTACACGGTGTGGAACTTTAAATTTATTCCCCACCCGAGTATCCAGAATATGTGTCCCTTTAACTTTGAGAAATGTGATAATGAAAATACCAATAGAACCGGTCAGATGTAATGAGAAGGGAAAAAAAGCACATAGTACACAGGAAACATCCCTAAGTCCTCCCTGATCTACTAGTGCGAGTTAATGGTGGTGGTTTCTGACAATGCCACCTTTCACTTAATTTATAAAAATTTTATAGAACCGATTTAAAGTAGATAGGCCTCTAATTCTTGTTTGGTCATGTTTTTTCTTTTTTTTTCTTCTTTTTTCTATTTGACCCTAAGAGTTTTTAAAAGAGGCTATATTAAGTGACAATGCATTCTGAGTCGGGGGAGAAAAAAAATTAAAAACCCAAAACTTCTTTCAGTTTATTCAAAATAAAAATACACAGAATTATGAAAATATAGGTTTACTATTTCCACCACATAAGTTGATGCTGTTGTTTGAAAGTCAAATTGTTTTTTCAAGTTTTTAAAGCTCATCTCGATCTCTCAATAAAGTATACCTATATTCGCTGGGTGCTAGTTTCTGGAAAGAGCTCTCGGGGGGACTACTCGCTACATCCTGGGTGTCCTAAAAAGAAAGAATAAAACATTTTTATATCAATATATTTTATGGAGTTATAATATTGCAATAAGAGCATTAGATGAATGGTATTAGTTGCCCTATAATTATTTAATAATCAATAAGAAGTAGCTACTGAGTGCCAAAGATAAAGAGTTAATTAAGTTTGAAATCTTGCTTTCCTGATTTCATATATGCCTTTACTCAGATTCTCCAGGGCAAACAGGGCTGCCACAATGCTGCTAAATATGGACCTGTTGACAGTTCCAGGGGTGCAGAGGAAGGAAACAAAATACCTGACACCTGGACGCATTCCTAGAATATTCTATAGAGCCAACATAACTCTTGACTAAGCCCCAACCCTTCCCTCTTACAAATGACTAAGAAAATTAAAGGCACCTATTCTGTGGCCAGATTAGTTACCTGGATGCCAGAAATGATCAAAACAAAATTAACATTAGGAGGAAAACAAATACTTCAATAACTTCAAGAAATTCATTTCTGCATTTTTTTACTTGTGCACATACAGTAGATAAAAATACAGTGGAATTCTAAGAGTGACTTCCAAGAATTTATAAGAAAAGGCAGTGTATTCTGTATTTTATTTACACATTGTGAGCTCTTCAAGAGCAAGCATGATTGTCATTCTTTTACTATCCCCTGTAGTTAACATAGGCACACAGTACATATGTTACATCCTATATCTAATGGCATAACTGCATTATAATGGTAAACAGTGTGCCTACAAACTTCCCATTTAACTTGGCCATGTTTCACTTCCCCAATATATTCTTAACTTTTTTGTTGTTGTTGAAATATGTTTGTTTTAATTTAACTGAAATGATATTATAAACATGTATTTAATGCCATTAGTACACAAAGATGACAAAATATAAAGAATTCAGCTGTCTAATGGAGCAGTTGAAACAAATTAGGATAATACAATAATGATAAGCTACATCCTTTTGTAATATGATAAAATATTAAGCAGGCTGACTTTTCTGATGAAAAAAAATCACCTGGATTATTGCCAACAATGCGCCTGCTTCTACAGTTGCTTAATTATCAAAGAAAAGTCTGTCTGAAGATTTCAAGGAAAAAGCATGTCATCAGATTCCTAAAGAGAACTCTTAACTTAATTTGACTCAAAGTGAAGAAAATTTCACTTAGTCTTTATTTTTCTCTTATATATGGACATTCTTTGGGCACAAGAGTAGATTGAAGTTTTGAATATATAAAATAGAGTTTGGTATATATCATCTTCCCTCTGGGTATAGTAGGGGACATAAATTGCTAATGAATCAAAATACAAATTTAGGGGTGTTTAACAAAGGAACACAGAAATATTAAAATTCTCAGGTTTTTAGAAATATATATTAAATACAAAATGTCAAGCATTCTAAATCTCAACTGGAAAGCTGCATTAAACTAATTTAAAAAATATATATATTTTATTGATATTTTGCAAGAGAAAGGGAGGATAGAGTTAGAAACATCAGCGAGAGAGACACATCGATCAGCTTCCTCCTGCACATCTCCTACTGAGGATGTGCCCACAACCAAGGTATATGTCCTTGTCCAGAATTGAACTTGGGACCCTTCAGTCCACAGGCTAACATTCTATCCACTGAGCCAAACCAGTTAGAGCTAAACTATAAGCTTTGAGCATTATGAAACCTGTATTGGTGAAGGAGGATCTTAGGATGATTTGTAAGAATACCAAATCATTTTCTTCATAGTGAGGTCAATCTTCCAGCCACATAGGACGCCTGAACAATTAATGGAATCCACTGATTTCACTGATCCATCCACTTCCATTTCCTATCTCCTACCTCTATTTAAAGCCACTATCTTCACTCCTCTCATAGCCATATTCTACAGACAGCTAACTGGACAAAATGCCTGTAACTTTTCGGAAGGCCTAAAACTTTAAAAGTTAATTTTGAAAGGAACATAGTTTGTACGTTGTCTAGAGTCTGTTGAGAAAGAAAAAAGCTCCCACTGAAAAACATGAGTGCTACCTGTCCTTGGGCTGTGTCAGTTGGGTCAGGACCGTGATGGAATTCCCTGTGAAGTTTTCCAGAATGTAAGTCAAATACAAACTGCTTGAGTTTCCCAGGAATTCTAAAACCAAAGTCAAATAAAAATTTAGTTTAAGCTATTAAAATGGACTTACCTCTTATCAACTTCACAAAATGGACTTACCTCTTATCAACTTCACATAAAAGAAAATTATTTATAATCCTACCATCTTACTGTAACTATTACAGACCAGGTATATATTGAACATTTTTATGCAGTTGTAATCTTATTGAGATACTCAGTTTTAATTCCTGCACTTGTTACAGAGAAATTTTTCTATGCTTCCCATTTTCACAGATGCATCAGTCTGTCAAGATGTTATCCTAAAACTTAACCATCCCTTATTTTTGAGCATTTATATTTTTCCTGAATTATTGTAACTAAAAACACCTATGTCCTTCAAAATCACACTGAAAAAGGGCAAATGGCAAATAGCTCAGGGAAAAAATAGTACCGGTATTACCCTCTCAAAACTGTAACAGCTTTACAATCAGAGTCCTACAAAAGCCTAGAACAAAAATATTAGCACTGTTTAGCCTCCACCAGCATTGGAGCCTGTGTCAGCCAGATAATCCTCCACGGCTGTAACCTGGAGCTTCTAAATCCTTTTTGAGAGGTAGGCCCTTGAGGGCATTACGGTCAACAGAACAAGTTTTATCAAATCTAAGGCAGGGTGTAGGTTTTTCATGTGGTTATTCTCCTCTCCTAACCCACCCCCAAAAGCACAGGGGGAAATTTCACAACTTTAACCACAGGGGCAGCTTCACTGGCTAGCGTAACATTGTGAAAAGCAAAAGCACTTCTCAAGGCCAGGAAACAGGTATGTTTTTTGTTTTGTTTATGTCTTCACACACTACTAAGGCATTCTCTTTAATGGTAAAACACTTTCTTTGGTGGTTTCAAACATTCTGAGGAAAATAAAATGAACCAACACAACTCATTGTATATTGACATCATTCCCCTACTTACTAATCAGGGCATAAGCAAACCTGTAGCACAGAGACATGCGTTGTAGTAAAACAGACCATTATAAAGCTAAGCAGACATATACACAGCTGGTGCTTGAATAATGTCATCTATACATATAAAGAGGTAATATGCTAATTTGTCCGTTTTATGGTGTCCCAGTCACGACCAGTCTGTGGGTGAGGACGGGGGCGGGAACTTCTGCCCCAGTGCTAAGGTCACACTGCCTGCGTACAGCCCCACCCAGTGCTGAATTGAAGCTGCCTACCCGCATCCCTGACTAGGGACATGACACAGTCTGCCTGCATCCCATTCAGCCCTGACATGATGCTGCGGGGGAGGGAAAAGAAGGGAGCTGGGCTTGATGGGGGACCTCAGGCCACGCCCTCCACCTCACAGGGCTTGATAGTGCTGGGCTGGGGGACCTGAGGCTGTGCGACCAGCCTAGAGGGGTTTGAGGGAGTGGGGCCAGCCGGGTCTAAGTCTCACTCAATGGGGGTGGGGCTGGCCGGATCTGGGTCTCCTGCGTTTTTAAAGTGCGTGGGTGGTGGATGGGGACTTGATTCTAGGTCTCGTGGCACACCCTAGACTCTAATAGGAGGGAGATTTTATATACATTTTACTAATTTTATTTCATCTCTGACACTTCTAGTATAGGGAAAGGGCAAATAGCAATATTAAAACATTTCTTCTGAATAATTTCCTTTTAATGTGCACGAATTTCGTGCACCAGGCCACTAGTTTCATTATTTCATTATAATGTTAAAGAGAAAAAAGAAAATTGATTCCTGGCTGGGGCCTCTCTAGATGTGTGAAGTTGGGACATTCCTCCCTATGCGTGCATGTGTCTCCCCTGAGAACCCGTTTCCTCCCACAGTGATGTGCAGGTGAGGTAAACAGTGTGTCTACATTGTCCTAGTGTGAGTGTGGATGTGTTAGTGCACCCTGTGATGGAAGAGCAGTGTGTCTGGAGTTGGATCCTGCCTTGCACCCTGAGATGCCAGGTTAGGCTCTGGCCATCTGCTATCAGGAACTAGGATGAGCAGGTTAGAAAATGATTTTCTTGTTTTTATTAGTCTTTCCTAAATGTATGTTGGCTTACATTTATTTCAATGTTTAATATTAGAAGTGTTTTAGGTTTCATTTAAAAGTTTTGGTGACCAGAAATATACCATAAGAACTCTTATTATCAACCAGAGGCCCGGTGCACAAAGTTTGTGCACTGGGTGGGAGGTGGGATCCCTCAGCCTGGCCTGTGCTCTCTTGCAGTCCTGGAGCCCTGGGGGAATGTCCAACTGATGGCTTAGGCCCACTAAGCCATCAGTCAGACATCCTTAGCATTGCCATGGAGGTGAGAGAGGCTCTCATCACTGCCGCTGTGCTTGCCAGCCGTGAGTCTGGCTTCTGGCTGGGCGGCATTCCCACTGTGGGAGCACCCAGACCACCAGGAGGCAGCACCTGCATTGAGTGTCTGCCCCCTGGTGGTTAGTGCACATCATAGTGACTGGTCATTCCACCATTTGGTCATCTGCATATTAGCCTTTTATTATATAGGATTAGCCTATGATAAAATTGGTTTTGTTATACATTGTTTTGCTGTAAGTTCCAGTTTCCAAGAACCTACTGATGACATTAAGTGAGGCTTTATGTATCAGCCTTTAAAAAAAATAGTTCCTTAAATTGTAGCCAATAAAGTAGGAGTATTGGATTAAATAATAAGAACTTTTGACAAAGTGTGGGCAAATTACACATACAAAACATCAGCCAGTTTTTGCTACTACTTGTCTACCCGTTTATTCTTTGAAATCTTGATAGCACCTGTTTTTATTAAAATTAGCAAGGCTAACTTTAGACACCTCATTTTAATTTCAATTTCTTCAGAAATTAAGCATTTTTCCATTGTTTGTTTTAGTTTACATTTCTGCTCACATGAATTGTCTATGGAGATTGTGATATTTAAAAAAACTCATTATATACATTTAAATAGAAACCCTTTGTTTCACATATCTGTTACAGAATTAAAATACAGGTCAACAAATACTTAATAGCTTCAGAAGAACTGGCTGACTTTTTGGTAGCAAAGAATAGCTGGCTAGTGTCAATATTACCAGTTTCTTTCTCTTTGTATCCTTTCCTAAGGTTCTGCAAGTGCTGTTTCTTTCTTCCCTTCGATAATTCCCACAGAGATGTACCAACCAATAACTTCATTGTACACCCATTTTAGCTCCCCACTAGCTCCAAAGCAACAGAGAACAGCAGGTGCCAAATGCACAGTTTACAAATACAAATGACGGTCAGGTGGCCGTATTGACAGAATGCCTGAAAGGTTCTCTGGTGCTGAAGGAATTGCCCATGCACCAGAGACAAACACTGAGAGGAGATCGATTTAAAAGTTAATCTGACATCATCTACTGTCACCCACAGCAAAGTACTAAAATATAACCATCCAATTCAAAGAATTGCAAATGGTCTACAATGTTTAAGATAAACCCCCAGTCAGTTTGTTATTTTATAAGGTCCGAGATGATCACAACCAATAGAGTTATTTGTTAGTCAAGAAATGATTTATAATTAAATCTTAAATGTAACAAATTCTTAGAGAACACTCAAAATAGATTTGCCCCTAATTTGATTCCACCACTCATGCCACTCTTCTCCCCCCGCCACTTGTCACCAGATGAGAAGAGAAAAAGAACTGTGAGCAGCAAAGACAAGGGGGATAGGATGAAAGAGCTTTATCTAGCTTGTGGCCAGAAACTATCCATCATTATTAAGTAACAATCAGTGAATCAACAATATATTGTCAAGGAAACAGACAACAGAGTTATCTGCTGAAAAGGAAAATAAATGGCCTTTGCCACAATAATTCCAATTATATTTTCATACTCCAGGGTAAAATTTTCTAACTAGAAGTTTCCCATCCTCGGAACATTTATTTGCTTACAATCTTTATTTTTTAGGGGATGCAAAATTTAGAGACAGTGAGATGCACAAATGTTAAATGTATCATTAAACAAGCTCTGAGAATTGCATGCAGTGTGAGGAATATTTGTACTTTTTTTTGGAAGTACATACAGAATTCAGCTTTTTAGACTTACAGTTCTGTGAGTTTTAACATATGCATGTTACCACCTCCACAAAAAGGATACAGAATAATTCCTACACCCTTTTTTCGGTCAGGCCCTCTTCTTCCCGCTAACTACTTGCCAACTACTGATCTGTTCTCTGTTCCCTTAATTTGCCTTGTCCAGAATGTCATGCTCATAGAATCATACAGCATATAACCATGAGACTGGCTACTTTTATTTAGCATATTACATTTGAGATTCATCCGTTTTTGCTAAATGTGTTTTTAAAAAGGCTTTTTCTTTATTTATTGCCGAATTGTATTCCATTGAGTAAAATTAGTTTATCCATATACCTGCTGAAGGACATTTGGGTTCTTTCAAGGTTTTAGTGATTTTGAACAATGCTACTATAGAGACTTGTGCACAAGTTTGTGTGTGAACATAGTTTATTTCTGTAGAAAAAATACTGGGTTATATGAGAGGTATATGTTTAACTTATAAACTACCAAATTGTTTTCCAGCATAGCTATACCATTTTGCAATCCCACCAGCAATGTATAAGAGTTTCAGTTGCCCCATATCCTTCAGAACATCTGACATTATCAGTATTTTAACCTAGCCATTCTAAAAGATGTAAAATTGGAGCTCATAATGGTTTTAATTTGTATTTCTCTAATGACTAATGATGTTAAGCACCTTTTCATGTTATTTGCCATTCATATATCTTCCTTACATCCTAACAGTATCTTTTGTTGTATATCTGTGCTGTCAAATATAATAGTAGCCAATACCCATGTGGCCACTGGGCACTGAAATGGGTTAGAATGCCCGAAAAACTGATTTAAATTTTATATCATTTTGATTAATTAAAACTCAGGTATTTATGGCTAGTAGCTACCCTGTTGGAGAGCAGAGCACTATGATAATTATTACAAGCCATCAAATATAAAATACACAATCAGTAAAAGACATTGAAAGGGCTGAGAAAAGAAAAGCCATAATGGTTATCATCGAACCCAAGTAGTCTTTCTATAGCACCAAAAACCATGAGAATCTTAAGGAGGATGAGTCTGGTAAAGTCCCATTTGTGGCACTTTTTTGTGGGGAAAAATGTGGATTCAAATAACAGGGGTTAAATCACAAAATAATCCATTCAAAGGCAAATCAGCTAGCCATTAAAAATAATGGAGAAACTACTTAGAGCCCAGAATTGGGGAACTCATTAGCTTTAGAGTGGCCGGTTACATTCGCCAGGAGGAACCAGAAGCCTGTCCTGCTCGCTGCTTTCCCTAGGTGACTGGGGCCACGGCAGCGATTAAGAACTTTGTGCAAACATTAGGATGGCCACAATTTTTAGAAGTTAGGTTTCTCTTCAAAGTCCTTCAATAAATAGTCTTAAATCATACTTTATCATGTATTCTCTTCTCTCAGTGTTGTACAGCATTTCCTAGACCTGTCCCTAGGTGCTCTTAGGTTCCAAAATTACCCTCCATTCCTTTCCTATATCCACATAGAATCTGTTCTTTACATTTGACAAGAAACCGATCTGTGCCTTTGTCTTGGGTCTCTTCAAACATCTTGCACATTCATACTTAAATCCTGACATGAATCCTAGCCCTACTACTATTAGTTATGTGGCCTTGCGGGTTAAGTTACTCCTCAGCCTCAGTTTCTTCAGAAAGGAAGAGGCAAAAAGAACAGTGGTAGAACCTCCTCCCCTCCCCTCCCAATGCCTACCTCTGGCATGGGAGGGGACTATACCATAAATCTGCTTTCTCTCTCCTTACCAAAACCATACTTCCTCCATATGAGGTACTAAGCAATAGTAATTACAGTGATTTATGAAAACTGCTTATCAATTAAGCCTTAATTACTATGCAACACAATAACAATTATGCAAGCCATTAAATGTGTCAGACGCACTTTGCTGCATGTTTTATTTGTTTTTTAACACTAACATCTATTCACATAGGCTCAGTTTGTAGTTCACACAGCATGTGCCTCTTTACAGTTAAAAAGTATTAGTGGGGACAGTGCCTAGAAGGGAAATCAGGCATCTAAGGGAGAAATGAAAGAAGTAATTTGTTTCAAAGAGCTTCAAATATAGTCACTTCCCTCATCTCCTTCCCTACTGATAGGACTAATTACCTGCCGGATGGGAGAGGAACATTTCCCAGTTCCAGATTTCTTTGGAGAATCTTACTGGCTCAGTTTCTTCTTAGGTAAAATACTGCCAGCCATGAGGAGGGGGACTATGTCATGTGGTAAATACAATCACTTTGTAATATGGCTTCTCTGTGGATTATTTTACCACATTTCAGAGTGAAAAAATAACACCTTTTCTATCCAAATAATAAAGTATTAGTGTTTCATCATAAGATTATTTAAAATATCCAAACAATTGTTTCAGTTCATTTTTGAGACATATATCAATAATTAGAAATACCAAAATAAATACTTACAATATATCCTTGAAGTTTTCAAACACATACATATGTCGAAAACTATCAATAGCTATTACAGGGCAATCTGCTGGGGTTTTCTGTATGTGCAGAAGAGGATGTCTAAATTTGTCACAGTCAGCATGTAAGAAGTTTATTGCACCTTTAAAAGGAAAAGAATTGGGAAAGGTAGATCAGAATTTTCTTGGCTGTATTCTCATAAGATTGCAAGTTCATAAAAAGTAACATACTAAAAAAAACAAAACCAAACAAACAAAAAACAACACCACCAAAATGCTTTAGAGTAATATAGATCACAAAAACTAAAACTTAAATATTGCAACACTGAAAGGAAGTAGGATTTGAGCTCTCAGGGCAGAAAGTATAATTTTCTCACAAATGCTATAGTGAATTAAAAAGAAAAGATCTAATTTGAATTAATACCATAGTATTGCTTAAATTTTTCATATATGAAGAAACACCTCCACTTTTACCATTGTATTTAAATCTCAGAAATTGATAAAAATTTAACTCAAATGCTATAGTGAATTTTTCATTTTTCTTGCATAAGTGTTCCCTGTTACCCAGGTTTGGGGAGCAAGTTCCTGAAACTGACATATAAACTCTCTTCCCAGGGCCATCTTCATTTCATTAAGGAGCCCTTCTCTTCTAGTCCCTACTGGTTGATTTCAATCTAATTGAACTCCAAAAATATTTACTAAGTCACTAATAAGGGTACAGCTCTATACAATGCCTTCAAGTTTATTATGCTTGATTTTCTTTTCTAACTACAAAGGGAAAGTTGGTCATACCTCAATTTGTTTTTGATGCTTTGGAGAAGCCACAGAGAACACTTTTTCTTTCATTTAGAAATAAACATTAATCAGACTGTAAGTTATCTTACCAATATGTCCGAGACTGTCTCTATTAGAAAGAAAACAGGCAAGTATCAACATGCTAAAAGAAAGTGCCTAAAATTAACAGTGTCCACCTATGATCCCACTTTCCATGCCATTTGATTTAGGGGGTTAAAACAGCCATGGTTTATTTTAAAAAGCCACTGCTTCGTATTATCTCTCTACTAAAGCCTCCTACCCCATGTTTACATGTAAATTCTGAGGCTATAATGGGGACAGGGGTTAGGGAGAAAGAAACAAAGAAAAAAGATGAAAATAAACACCTTCATCTGTCTACCTTTTTCACTTATTAATTGTCGGGCTACTTCATTCTGGAATATTTCTAAACTTTCTGTATCTTCTTTCATGTGGAAAAGTATTAGGAAAGGCAGTCCTTCTTCTGTCAATTCCTGTGTAGAGAAGTATTCAATGTGAATTATTAGGCCTCTCCACTGGTAGCTGTTTTCTAAGTAGGAACAATTTAGAACTCAACCCAACATGCAACAATTGCAACATCCGAGGAAAAAATAAGGCCCAATGGCATAAATAAACATTAGCCTTAATGGAGAAGTCCAAAGACATTTCCTCCACCTGCAGTACCGGGCACTCAGGGGGCCCACTCATCCTGCTTGCCTGCAGGAGCTGACATGCCTTAAGTAATCACTGGGCTGGGCTGTTAGCTAGTATTGGGTGAAGCCCTGGCATTTGATAAATGAGTTGACCAAGGGAGAAACTGCTGGTCTTTATCAAGATCTTAATTTTAGGGTGGAGTGGACATGTTTTCCCCTACAGACTTTAGGGTGGGGTAAACGGTCTTCACAGATTACACTGAAACTGGATGTACCAGCAGTACATAAATCTGGTTTTGCACACTTATGTTCATTTTAAGGTATATGCAAAAACTTAGATGAGCTGAAAATGTTTGATTCAGAGCAAATAACAAAACTCCCATAACATAGCCAGTTTTCAACCAATACACAATTTTCAACATTAAAAAATACCCACCACTATATATGTGTGTGATTATATACCTTGTGCATATGCACACACACAAAAGCGTCTTGAAAATTATAAAGTGCTTTAAATTTTTTATTATTATTATTGGAGAATAGTATGAGAAATGTGATGACTGATTTTAATCATTTACTCTCTCTAATAAATGCTAAGTTCTGACTCATAAGGATAGGTCCAGAATGGCCTAATAAAATTATTTCCATCAACTATCCTTTTGTGTTGTGTGTCTGTAATTTAGAAAGTGCCTCAGCAGAAAGTTCAAATGTCCTATATTTGATAAACACTGAATCTGGAACCCATCTTATAGGACAAGAGTTTTCTTCTGGTTCCTAGTTCCATGTTAAAGCCTGTTACATTCATGTACAGAATAAAATATAAAGTTTCTTGTCACATTTACTTTTTTAAAAACTGAGATATCACTCACATGCCACCAAATTCACCATTTTAATGTGTTCAACTTGGTGGATTTTATTATATTTACAAGGTCTGCAAACATCAACATTACCTAATTCCACATCATATGGGAAAGGAGCTCAACAGTCACGTTTTAGAAAACATAAGAGCTAGAAAGTTAAAAGTAATAACAAACATAACATACTACTATTACTTTTTGAACTAACAACTATTAGGAGAAAAGTAAGAAGTAGATTAATAATTTGAAAAAAATCTTTTTGCTAAACTAATTTACATTAACATAGCAGTTGGTAGTTTATGCTGCTTGGATTTTTTTAAGTTTCCCATGTCCACATCAACATATTCTCTCTAGAACAGGCATTAAAAGACTCAGGGGAGGGACAGCAAAACAACCAGGATCAGACATTTCCCCACTGGCAGGTGTGGGGACCATCTGGCCCGGGCAGTATAAGGTCTGAGAAATCATTTGGTCTGGCCTTGCTGTGGCAATCACAGGCGGAATTTGAGTTTCAATAAATCTAGGAACTTTTTTCATAGCAACATAAAATGGTATTAAGTGAATTATATTAAGTGAAAGATGATATAAATATCCTTGGCAGTAAAAAGGTTCCCCACCCTGGAACTGATTAAGGGGTAGTTGGAACTCCTGTATTACTATTTAAGATTTTCCAGTCTATACCTTTAAACTCTATTTTTCAAACTATTCCTGCAAAAGCAGGTGAAAAACTGTGACAAGTTATTAAATCTTTCTGAGCCTCTGAGGACTAACTGAGCTAATACAATAAAAATTTAAGTAATTCAACCAAGCATACTTGAAGCCTAAAGAACTGAGAAAAGTAGCAGCAATGTTCATTTGATAGATAAGCTCAGAAGGAACACGAGGAGCAAGCTTTACTGGATCACAGCCACACTTATTTATGCATTGTCCGAGGCTGCCTTTGTGCCACAGCTGCAAAGCTGAGTTGCTTCGACGGAGTGTGTATGAACTGCACAACTTAAAATACTTAACATCGATTCCTTTACAGAATTGTCATCTTCTGACTAGATGATGATTAGGTGGTGTGTTTACTGTGAGATGATGTTTTCTAAAAATCGCATTATTCTCTGAGGTCTTAAACATGGGAGTGAAATGAAAAGAAAAATATACTTTGAGCACAGTGAAGAATAGAGAGAGGTATCTCACAGACCTAGCCCTTTGTACAAGCTCCTCGATCTCTCAGTTTTGTGTTTTGTTTTTTTAAGTTTGCTTTATTTCAGACACATGGAATCACTGAGGTCAATTGCATGATAACTGATAACTGTTTTTCCAATACTTCATTCTTTTAGAATAGAAAGCAATCAGAACCACCTTTAGATGGCAAAGAATTTAACTATGCTTCTAAAGGATACCCCTAAATAAGAATCTTCCAACAGGGGTGATTATCAGAATCGTGAAGCATTTTCAAGACTGTAATGACCTACTGACATTGCAGGAAATGCAACAGAGGAGTCCTGGGATGGCCCGGTGAGAGCCACTGGCCTGTATTACAGAAATAGTTATGATGTCATTATGTCTAACTGTATGATTTTAATTGCAGGTAAGAATGTGATAAAATAGTAAGAGTGGATAAAGTTTGCTTTTTCAGAAATCTGAATTAAAAATTTAAAAATAACGACCCACATTAGAAAGCTCATACCTCTCCATTTTCAAATGTTATTTCTCGGACAAGAGGAACACATTTATCTTGAATCCAATTGTAAACCCCATCAAAATTTGTCATAGAGCCCAAGTATACCATATCTGGAGCAGAATGCTGTTACAAAAACAGAGAAAAATATTGTATTAAACAAATCTAACAAAAATGCATCCTTAAAGCCGTCTATATGAGCCCAGAAAATCTATAAGGAATCCAAAAGCAAAAAACCATGGAATTTCTGAGAAACAGGGCTATAAATAGTAAAAAGCTGATAATATTGTGATTATCCACCCTTTGATGCCTAAGTCTTCTGCTTTTCCTTTGATTTGGGCTAATTAACTGTTTATCAATATCTTCACAAATAGCAAGCAGGCAATGTGAAAAAGTCATTTAAAAAAAGATAAGTTATCTATCCTTAGAGTTGAAGATATTAGAAGAAAATCTGGAGACTTATAGTGAAAAATACAAGAGATATATAAATCTAAGGCATGGCTATCTCTAATCTTAATTATCTACAGTATCTACTTCCACATAGACTCAAAATCAATATTTATGAAGTACCTAAAATGATGGTAAGAATATCAGCCAGCATTATCTGAGTAAACTTGCCATGTGCAAACACTGTTGTGAGTGCCGGCAGACCTTGATATAACAGACAAACTCAGGCAAAGGGCTGTCGGTGAAAGCTGAAAGTCCATTATAAAAGAAAGTAGGTTTTCCGAATGGGTATGTCAAGACACTGACAAATTAGTTTATCTGTTTTTACTTACGTAGACAGGTTTGTGTATTTAAAATTAAGTATGTATAAAAAGTTTAATTTCACAGAAAAGTTTTCTAAATATATTATTGTATTTTAAATTCATATGAATTGGTCTAGTAAACGCTAACATTTGCCAGTCACTGTGAGTAAATAAATGCACAAGGCTGGGGTGTGGCTTAGTGCACAGTGGAACACTGGCCAGCACTTGTTAAAACTGCTGCAGAAAGTCACATCAGGTGAAAACAGAACCAATTACCAAGTGCGATGCGGTGTGATCGTGTGCTAATGTTTGAGAGGTGACTTTAGACTTAAATATGTAAACTATAGTTGTAGATATACAGATCGGAAATTTTGTCCATTAAATCAAGGTCTGCAGCACAGAGGATTCACCGTGACTTATATATGTTGACTCATTTAATCCTTGAAGTATCCCCTAAAGCAGGACCATTATTATCATGGCTGCTTTTACTAATGAACAACTGAAGCACAGAGAAACTAAGAAACTTCCCCAGAGTTCTATATTATACCTAGGGAAGTGGCAGATTTGACATTACAACTCAGCCTCACTCCAGAGCCCATGCTCTTTACAACCAAATTACTAGATTCTAGAGAAGAGCACACTATGTAAGCTACTCCTAAAGACATGCGCTTGCAAAAAAAAAAAAAAAAAATAGGCAAATACTTATCTGAATTTAGAATAGGAAATGAGCTTTCTAAACAAAAATCTCATTCATGTGACTACATAAACATTAAAAACTTCAGTGTGTCAAAACAGTGCAAACATTAGATGAAAATTGTAAATCTGAAAAATATATTCTATTTTTTGTTATGTGTGAAAAATTGCAATGACAATTTATGAATTTAATTTATATTTAAAATTATATACACTACAAAAAAGCAACTTACCCCTGGTGGTTTGTAGATTATATTGTCTCCACTAAATCTTTCTGGTTTTGAAACAGTCCTAATAGGAAGAGAGAAGTAGTACTAATAAGTCTTAAGAAAAATAATAGCAGTAATTCACCTGAATGAAGAATTAGCTAGCTGTTTTGCAATGTATGAATTATCTATTTAAAACAAATACTTATCCATCATCTTTTCTATTTATGACTATGCACTACATAACTAAAGCATATATTTTTAAAATTTACTGAACAAAAATTTAGTGTAAGGCAGATTTTTTAAAGGGAAATTTTAGTTTCCTGCTTTTGTGACTCAGTATTTTCTAAGTTTGGATTGGTAGTTTTAGCATTAAGATGCTATTTTTTAAAAAATATAAAAAGGTACATTATTGATTTCAGAGAAAAAGGGAGAGGGATAAAAAGTTAGAAATATCGATGAGAGAGAAACATTAATCAGCTGCCTCCTGCACACCCCGCACTGGGGATGTGCCGGCAATCCTTCAGTCGCAGACTGACGCTCTATGCACTGAGCCAAACTGGCCAGGACTAAGATGCTATTTTTAAACCTAGACTGTAACCACTAACTGGGATCAAAGTCATTGATATGGTCTCATAGACCAATCAAGAAACACATTATTTGCTTGTAAATCAGCCTCATCCATGAATTTACTACTTTTTACTTTTAACATCTGGGCCAAACTGACACACTCTCAACCAACATACTTACCCGAATGCAGAAAAGAAGGCACAATCATCGTGCAAAATATTCGCTACTTTTTGAAAAACTCTATAGTGTTCTGAATCCATCTGCTCAAAATAGCCAATAATATTTCTTTTGCTGCGCTGTAAAATAATGTAATTATTTAAAAAACATATGCAGTTCTATAAACATGTTATTTCATTTACCCAGCTTGTTCAATTATCTCCAAATGAAGTATGACTATAAATACACATTTGACTTAACACCTAGTCCAAAACTATTAAAGAATACATTGGTTTTAAAGCAATCTTAACTATAGTCTAATGTAATTATGAGCATTTCCTTCTAGTATTTTATGTTAAGATTTCAATAAGTAGATAATTGTATGACAGTCTTTTCCTAATTAAAATGACTAATTCTAAAATATTTTAAACTAGTACATCAATTCATAACATGTGACTGACTGTAGGTAGAGACTCCCCCATGGCTCTCACACCGCTACGCAAACTGCAAAACCCCGACCACTCTTCCCCGGGGCCATTTCTCAGGGTGTTTGCAGCTAGCAACACTGCGGTCTGAGGCAATGTCTCCCCCCGGGACAGAGCTGGCTTACTACCAGCACCAACATGGGGTTTACGGAGCCCAGAGTGCTCCGATAACACAACCTGCTGTATACACAGGCACCTACCTGGCGCTCTGTCACCTCCCTAAGACTGAGGGTCAAAGAAACAAATGCAAACATGTTCACACTGGTGGCTGTAACATGAGCAATAAAGCCCTGTGTTATTGACCCTTAAGCCTTGTGTCTTTTGACGTCCATGAAACTACAATTGTTTAGCATGTTAGCTTGTAAGTAGGAGACAAATAAAATCTCAAACCTGACAATTACAATCTAAAGCCCAAAGGCAATTGTTTTTATTTTATTAAACACTACTTAGTGTACAAAGAAAAGAGTTTGCTAAGCTTATTATTAAAAGGGGCTATTTTAGAGGACACTAAAATGCATATCAAAGAGCTGATATGGGAGTAATCAGAGCAGACACCTGGAGGATCTCCACCAAGGAAAACATGGAAATTTGGTTGTGCAGACCTGCCATTAGCATCTATTTCTTCATAATCCAGGCTACCCTTTGCTCAATAATTCAAATTAGCGCAATTTTATTGTATGCTATACATTTTACCCAAAGGGTCAATAAAACAGTAGATTTCCCTTGAGAAATAATAGAAGAAAAACTCAATTTGCTAAAAGTATATATATATATGTGAAATCCATTGCAATTAACTATAAGAAAATCTACAGATTCCTTGATTGCATAAGAATTTGTTTACAGTAATTAAACAAGCAATGTTCTTTGATCCAGCAAAAGTTAACAACTTACATCAAGAGTGGTGATTTCTACTAAATCATGCAGTTCTTGAACAGGGTCACTTTTTTGTTGCCTGATGTAATCTGCAAGTGCTTTCACTGACCGCTGGCCCCTGTATTCTCTCTTCATCATCATCCCATTACGAAACAATTTGAGGGTTGGGTATTTGCTTATCCTATATCTCTGGGCTATCTCAGCTAAAAGAATGAAAAGAAAAAAAATTAACTTCACTCTCGTACTTGATCTGGGTAAGCCCATTTTAGCCAAACAGCCTAAATTCTTACGGTGACTTAGTGAAGACATTCAGTTATTTTCAATATTAGAGAAAAAATATTAATCATGATGCGTTTGTACTGGTAAGAAGGCAAGATCTGGACATGTGTTACCGGGTTTAAATCCTACATTTGCTATTTAATGGCTCTTTGAACTTGTAACTCAAATCAACTATCAATGCCTTAGTTTCTCATCTGTGAAGAACAATGATTTCTACCATGCAGGATTGTTTTAAGGACTAAATAAGATAATACAAGTGCATGACACAGTAAACTCTAAATAACTGTTAATAAACATTATCATAAATATATTCCAGAAAGGAATTAGAATGCACAAAATGCCAATTTTGAAGATATACAAATTTTATGTAAACTACTGTGTTTCCCCGAAAATAAGACATCCTCTGAAAATAAGACCTACTTACAGGTTTCCTTCTAAGTGAAATATAAGGCATCCCACCAAAAATAAGGCCCCCCTATGCTCTATCTCAGAATACTATTGCTAAACATGAGAGATTTGGTCCACTGATTCTGAAAGAAATGGAGTCACAAGAAATTCACCAGGAAATTCAGGAATTGGATTGTTATGATGATGTTCCAGAAGATGATGACATAATTGTCATTGAATAAATGAGTAAATTCTTGATACTGTAGGATTCACAGTTTGTCTGGTTTGTGTTGACAACTACCGTACTACTGTACCGTATACAGGTAATAAATTTCCTTTATTTTCATTTAACAATAAATGTGTACCGTATTCTTCTTTATGGAAAAATAAGACATCCCCTGAAAATAAGACCTAGCGCATCTTTGGGAGAAAAAATTAAAATAAGACACTGTCTTATTTTCAGGGAAACAGGGTAATAAAACCCAAAACTCAGCAGTATATACACACAGACAAAACAATAAGCCCTTTATTGTGACCTATAGATATAATCTCAGGAAATGAAAATAAGAACTTAAATCAAGATGTATGCTGATGTCATTTTTTAAGGAATCCAGTTACTAAGATGCATTATGTCATGCATGAAATTGATAAAAGATATCGATACATTGAATTTTTAGAATAAAGGTGATCTGGAAGAGCACTGAAGTGGTCTAAAACAGGTGAAATTCTTTTTCTTAACTGAGCAAAAATGAAGGCAAAATTCTAAAATGGTGACACAAAACACCAGGAAAAGTATCTAACCCTCCTTCATTTCTAGTAGTTGTAAAACAGAAACAAAACACAATAAACAGACTAGTAAGGAAGCTACTGCAATGGTCCTGGCAGAAGTAACAAGAAGTCTGTCTACAAACTTAAACACGGCAACCTTTAGGTTGTCTTAAAATTCTACTTACAGATAGAAAAAGATTAAATAACACTTGAAAACTACAGGGGAGCAGATGCTTGCTTAATCCTCAAATGACATCACATACAGCAGGAGCTGCACAATTAAGTGGCTGATAATTATTAAAAAGCAAAAGCCTTAAAATTACATTGATCAATAATCTCAGACATAAAGGCGACTTCTTACAAGCTTTGGTCAAGAGAGATTTTAAGATAATTACAATGTGACATTTTAACAATGTAACGAAGAATGACTTAAGGGGTATAATAATTTTTTTATTAACTGGATAGATCACATGTTAAAATGGATGTCCAAGGAATTAAAATTACAGAAGGTTAAAGCTTGCTGATTGGAAAATTAGCATGTACTTTTGCTTCAATGGTCACTTACTTCTCCTTGATGGGTTCTGCCTGCCTGCCTACCTCAGCCACGCCCAGCAGGGTTGCAAAGGGGAAACTGCCTCAAGCTCTTGTCTCAGCGTGTCCACCCTGCCATGACAACCCATAGCAGACAATACAGAGGCAAGAGGCTTCAACAGATAGGTCTTACTGTTCTTGTGATTCCAGCATGAGAACCACTGCTACCTATGTATCGTTTTTCATTCCCAAGCCATGCCTTCCCCTCAATGAGGAAAAAAATAAAATAAAAATAGAACTAAACCCTAAACAAAGATATTATAGAGCAATCCAGGATGCTTATTCAGGACTAAGGTTAAGTCTACACATCCAAGTTCTGTTTTATGCACATGAATTCTTTACCGAATCTTTTCTTATTCTTTTTTAAAAATTTGTTGAAATATATTCAACATATAACACTGTGCAAGTTTATGGTTTAAAACATGTTGGTTTGATATTTATATATTGCAGTATTGCAATATTCTTGTCACTGTAGCATTAGTTAGCATCTCTATCACTTCAATTAACTGACATTTATTCTTTTGTGGTGGGAATAATTAAGATCCAGTCTCTTAGCAAGTTCGATGTGTTTTTAAAAAACTATATCTTATTGATTTTTTACAGAGAGGAACAGAGAGGGATAGAGAGTTAGAAACATCGATGAGAGAGAATCATCTATCAGCTGTCTCCTGCACACCCCCTACTGAGAATGTGCCCACAACCAAGGTACGTGCCCTTGACCGGAATCGAACCCAGGACCCCTTCAGTCTGCAGGCTGACGCTCTATCCACTGAGCTAAACTTTCAGCAATGTGTTTTTGTTGTTTTTATTTTTTTATTTTTATTGATTTTAGAGAGGGAGGGAGAGGGAGAAAGAAAAACATCAATGATGAAAGAGAATCATTGATCGACTGCCTCCTGCACGCCCCCTACTGGGGATCAAGCTCACAACCTGGCCCTTGACTGGAATCAAACCTGAGACCCTTCAGTCCGCAAGGCTGATGCTCTATGCATTGGGCCAAACCTGCTAGGGCAAGTTTGATGTTTTTAATATTGTTGTCTATAATTATTTTATTATTCTTAATGACTCATTTATGCACAGCTCTTATATTGCTTCTCAATTTACAATGTGGAAGCTTAAAGATAGAGCTGGAAAGAAGACAGGTAAGAGTAACTCAGATATCAGGGAGTAAGAACTTGCCTAATTCAAGGAAAATTGCAATCTATTCTAAAAATACTAGGAGTTCTGCACTGACCAGCAAATCATTTATGAATGTCCCTTGCCATACAACCTATAGCCACTGGAGGTCAGCAGAGAACCCAGTCTCGCCAGGGGCAGATGATGGAACTTGTTGCACTTAAAGCAGCATGACCACTACTAGGGAGAGTGATGAATTCTCCCAAACTCCTGAAGGAGAAGCCAGAAGAAGATGAGATAAAGTGAGATGATCCACAGCTGAAGCAAGGGTAAGTTTTAACTGTGTGCATATGTATAAATTTTGGAAAACAAAGATAATTCCAAAGAAGAAAAGAAGCAGCATTTGTAATCCAACCACCACAGGGGAAAACGACTATTAATGTTTTGGTTATATTTTGCTAACTTTGAATAAAAGTTCCTTAACCAGCAGTGACCTTTCAATTCAGAAAGAAATAAACTGAGATTAGTCAAATAATAAAATGCCAGCATTAATACTTTCAGAATGGATATCAGCAGGTTGGGAGAAAATCCTAGAAAGAGTAGCATTCTTTAATCAAGGGTATTACCAAGACTCTTAATGGCACAGAACCTGCTATCCTATATATAAAAAGTTAATATTCAAATAGACCGAATGGCCAGTCACTATAATGTGCACTGACCACCAGGGGGCAGACGTTTAACATAGGAACTGCTCCCTGGTGGTCAGTGTGCTTCCACAGGGGGAGTGCTGCTCAGCCAGAAGCTGGGCTCAGGGCTGGCGAGTGCAATGGCAGTGGTGGGAGAGCTAAGAATGTCCAACTGACAAGTCCTGGACTGTGAGAGGGCACAGGCCTGGCTGAGGGACCACCCCCAAGGAGTGCACAAATTTTGTTCACTGGGCCCCTAGTTTTATAGAAAAACACAAAAATCAGTAATTCCAAATTGGAGTCAGATTTGTAATGTAAAACTGCTTCAGAACAACTTGAACAAACTTGCTTTCCGTTTTAGGTATATACAATAATATGATAGTTTGTATCTAAGTAAGTCTAAAATAGTTCTTATAACAGATATAAAAATTCTAAGTGATAATAAAGCATTGTATTGTAGTTTTGGGAGGTCTTTTTTTTCTAGTTATAGTTGAAAGTGTGACTTAGAATTCATGACAATTTAGATTTGACAAAACATTGCAGGAATACTTTAGTGTACTGTTGGAAGATAATGAAATAATCTACATAAAGTACTTAATGTAGTATCTACAAAACTAACAGTTCATATATGCTAGCTAGTATTTATTACTCATTTATCCATCCATTTATTCAACAACTATTACTGAAATACTGCTACGTGCTAGGCACCGTTCCTGATGACACTCCAGCATCATCCTGAGTTCAAAATTCTCTTTCTACATTTCCCAGTGTTTTGTTTTGTTTTGGGGGGACAAGAAGAGGGGTGTGGTGAGGTGGCAAGGTGGTGGAGAGGGAATCAAAGTGGCTACATTCAGCTCATACACAGAAGCAAAAGTGCTGACTAGATAAAATCAGCCTGTTGTATCTACTTTTGCCTTTTTTCCTACCCGAGTTCTAAGTTCTTGGCCTATTTACCTGTACCTTTCAACAAAGAAAGTCCTAGGAAAGCACACACACACACACACACACACACACAATTTTGAATTACTGATTTTTTTTAAAGTAACTTGCCCAACTCCATATGACAGTAAGTAGGGGGCTTCTATTTGTACAACAAAAGATTCTACCTTAGTAGAGAGCTGGGCCACAAAAACAAGAATCTACACTAATAAAAGAGTAAGATGCAAATTACTCATTGTACCTTCATGATGCCCACCAGCCAATCAGGAGTAAGTATGCAAATTAACCCAACAAAGATGGCAGGTTAATTTGCATGCATAGGTGCAGAGAGGCTGGGGAGGGGGCAGGACGTTTGTGTCGTTGCCATGGCCATGTGCAGGCATTCTGCACCACCCCAGCTGCTCTGGGTCTCTGGGCAGCATGAGAAGGTGGAAAGGCAGCTCTGGCTGGAGCAAAGGTGGTGCCGGCAGCCATGGGAAGGAAGGCCCATTCTTACACGAATCTTTGTGCATTGGGCCTCTAGTAGAAACTATAATACCACATACAAGTTAATTACCTATATGCTTGTCCTATTAAATTTTGATGAAAAAAACGAAATAAGTTTTTTAAACCCTCATGAAGGCAAAATAGGAAGTTGTGTTATAAGAATAAAAAGAAACACCTATTAACATTTTGAGCAAGATCACTAATACTTTTATTTGTTCTCCACTTGAAGCAGAGCATTTTTGTAAAAGAAATATGTGTGTGTGTGTGTGTGTGTGTGTGTGTAGGAGAGATGCAGATAAGACAGTTTCTTCCAGACTTCGTACTGAGGTACTTACAGTGCTGATCACAATCAACTCTGGCAAACACTACTTGATTTTCACTTGGATATTCTTCCTTAATAACATTGGAAGCTTCCTCAAATATTGGATGCAACATCTGGCTGAAACGACACCTATGCACAGAGAAAGAAACCAATTAAAATGAAAAGCAGATTCAATAAAATTTTATTTCAGCTATTATCCATTGCTATTTAGCATATATATAATAAATAGCTTTTTAGACAATCATAGTTAATTTAGGGATGAATCCTGATGTCATTCATTGGAGATGAAACAATTTTGAATTCAAAGATTGTACAAATAATTAAAATATTTTGTTTTATCTTTTCACCTTAGGAAAATGGCCAATATTATGGAACACACAGCTAAAGCTCTCACATAAAGGCCATAAGTCAAGCCTGAAACACACCCTCTAAGATATATCTACTGGTGTTTGCAACTACTGAGATTTAGACATTTATAAAAGAAATTAGCTTTCTCTAAATAATGGACATATTTTTAGACTACTGTTCAAAATCTTTAGACCAACTCATAATTAGTTCAATCAAATTTTAGAGGCAAGTTAGCATATTATATAAGTAAGTTATATGAAAAGGACATATAATATATAATGAACTGCATCCCCTCAAAATTTATCCCTGGTTAAATGTTTTGTTTTTTTTAAATCTATAAACATGTTAAATATACTAAGTCCAGGAGAAAAAAAAATCTTACATTCCTAAATGAGGCTTCCTGTCTATTTTTCTTTGTCATTTTTGTTTCCTTTTTACTTTTAAAAAGGGGCACAAAACCCCACAATTAATATTCTAGGAACCCAACACTTCTAATTCTTAATCAGGCTAACCATTTCACAAATATATGCTGTGTGTCGTTAAAGGGACCTGATAAGAAAGACAAAAGAATCAGAATTAGTGTACAACCAGCTGGGTTAGAATGGTCATTCTCATATGGAAAAGGTATTGAGAATCTGTTAATAAAAAAAAAGAACTATAATTGTTACTCTTTGCTTCTAGAGCCCTTGCCAAAGAAATTTACTTAAACGAAGCCTATGAACTCTTTAACCCATATGATCTGGTCATACATATTAACAATAATTCAACAAAAATATTATAAAGCCTGTGAAAGGATGCAAATTTTATACTTCCTCCCTATTTCTTTTTGTACATATCTCTTCTAACCCACTCACCTGACTTCCTAAGGAGATGTCCTAGAATATATCAAGGAGACAAATCTGTATCTTCAATCTCTTGCTTTCAAGTGGCTCTTTCCTCTTTTAGCATTCTTAAATCTCTCCCATCTGGGATAGTTGGGTGGGGTCTGTGGACATCAGGGACCGTGTCTTATTTGACTACATAATTCTAATAAGCATTTCAATAGATGTCTGTTAAATGAATAAATTGACAGGATGGAAGAACTAGAGAGACTAAGACTACAGGTTTGTGAGTTCTTACAGTTTGCTAAAAATTGGGTTCTGGAGGGAAGAAAAGACAAGGGGTAGAGATTGATTAATTGTGTGTGTATTTTTAAATATGTTTTTATTGATTTTAGAGAGAGAAGAAGGAAGAGGGAGATAGAGACAAACATCAATTGGCTGCCTCCTATATGTCCCCCAACCAGGGATTGAACCTACAACCTGGGCACAGGCCCTTAATGGGAATCGAACCAGAGACCTTTTGGTGCCTGGGAAGATGCCCAACCAACTGAGCCACACCAACTAGGGCAATTAATAGTTTCTTGAAGAAGTAGATCATGGCCTAGTAAAGAATCAGTAGACAGGCTCCTGGCTTAAGAGCAAGATAAACACATAAAGGACTTTTTTCTGGATTGTCCAGTTTGCTACACAGTAAGCATTTAAGCACAATTCTTATTTAAAATAGGATATATTTTAATACTAAAAGGCAGAAGGGGAGGATGAAATACAAGTTCAGTTGCAATATTACTAAACTTTCATACACATGTAAAGTTACATTTATAAAAGTAACATAATGAAAGTAATATATCTATTAAAAGGATCCTAAGAGTCATCTGAATCCAACCTAATACTTGAATCAACCCTTTACAAATCAAACAAATGGGTAGAAGTCTTTTTGTGGAAACAATTTGGAGACATTAATATGATCTAGTGAATAAAAATAATAAGCTTTGGAGTCAGACATACCTGAGTTTACATCCTAGTTCCACCACTTACTAGCCAAATGACCTTTCTGAGCCTCAATTTCTTCAATTTAAAATGAAAATTAAATACTTGCCTATGGATAGTTCTGAGCATTAAACCAATGTATGTACAGAGCCTGTCCCATAACAGCATTATTAAAAACCTCCTAAGATTTATTGCCTTCTGAGGCATATCAGTATAGAATTCTTCCTTAAACTGTGTCACATGCATATCTTCCAGAGGAACTCAGAACTAGCCTTTGAGGCTATAGTATGTCTATGTCCTACAGCCAATTACCTTTCTTCAGCTGAGTGAAAAGAGTACTAATTCATGAATAGCTTGAGATGTTTGGGGGATGATATGTCTTCCCTAGTAACTGCACTTAGCCCACATTTCCAATTCAGTTTTTGCAACAAGTTAGTGGCACATTCTAGTTCTCTTCCTTCAACACACAAAATTTCTTAACCAAGAGAAATGCGTTCCAGATTTAACTCTGTCACAACTGAGTCAGGTAAGCTTGGGAAAATATTCCTCTGATCTCAATTTTATTTCTTAAGGGATTAGACTAAATAAGCTTCTACCTAATTTACCTTGAAAATGCTACCTTTATTATATATTTTATCAATGATATTTTCTCTGTATATTTTAAACATTTGTTCATTAAACACTTATCTAGCATTCATTCAGTAAATATTAATGATATATTTATCTGCCAAGTATTATGCAAAGTGCTTGGGGATTAATGATGAAAAAAAACATAGCTTTTCACAAAGCATATGAGTGTTATGGTTGGGAAAAATCAGGGTGTTGTGGGAAGCTATAAAAAGGGTTCCTAAACTGACCTGAGAGTGACCTAAAGAAAGTAATATCTAATCTAAGGCATGAAAGATGATTAAATTTTAAGTAGATAAATAAGTAGATAAGAGAAGAGTGACCCATTCAGGCAGAGAAAATACCATGACTAAAAGTGATGAAGACTACAGAATATTACAGAAACAGAAAGACATTAAGTATAACTAGAACAGAATAAAGAAGTGGGGAAAGCAAGAGATAATAGCTATAGAGATAGGAAGGGACCAGGTTATCAAGTAAGAGACTTAAGTCTACTTAAAGAAAATCATTTAGAGTTTTAAGACTCGGGTAAACTGATCCAATTTGCATTTCAGGAAAGCCCACTATGGCTTCCTGTGTAGAAAAAAGAATAGAGATACAGAAGACTAGAGGCAAAGAAAATAAATTAGGAGGCTGTCCCAGGAATCTAGCTAAATTGCAGGACTATAGCCTGAAATAGGGTAGTGCTAACTAGTAGGTGGTTAATCTAAGAAGGCCAAATAAGGTATAGGCTGTTTAGATATAAGGATTATGTGAGTGTTTCAAACTTTTCTCTAGCTGAAACTCTGTCCTGTCCCATATACTACCTATTATGCTCTTGTTCTAGACACTGGGAATACTGAATAAGACTATCTCTGCCCTCAAAATTTGTTTGCTAGGACACAAAGATAAAAGAAAGAGTAAGAAAGAGAAATGGTAAACATAGTACTATAGGAACAGAGAAGACAGAATCTGATTCAGACAGGGAGGGAGGCTTCCTAGAAGTAGTAATAGATGGTATATATTTTAAATGTCAATATTATTTTCCCTTTTAAACTTGCCACACCGACATCCTCACCTCCCTACTTCCTCGATCAGGAAAAATACAGAATTGCAATATGTACTCAAATTTGTGTGTGTGAGAGAAAGGGGTAGAAGAGGGGGAGAGAAGAAGGGGGAAAAAGAGAGATTTGAATCTTATGTTACCTATTTTTATTTTAAGATGTGGGATAATGAAATCAGGCATATTTCTCTCTTAAAACACAAATGCCAACCAAATTAAGCTACTTCATTTGTGAATGAACCTTACATTGATTTTGTATACAGAATATTATATCACAAAAGAGAAAGGCTTTCCCACTCACCCCTTTCTAAAAAAGAAAAATTCACCTTTACCAAATTTAACCACAGAAATAAGATTACTTACCAGTCAGCATAAAAATTTACTAAAGCAACATCAGCATTTCCTGAAATTGAAAAACAAAACCAAACAACCTAAGTTATTTGTGCCTGCATAATTTTGACATAATTAAAGATGTGGTTTTCATCATGGTCTGTTTCCACTGTAAGGGTCCATTAAAGATACATAATGACAACTAAGTAACCTCTTGCACAGGAACCCATACGTATAGTCATGGACAACTGATATTATTTGTAGGAGTCCCTGTTCCTTCTCTCTCTATCCTGCACCTTTAAACCTTCATGGAATGAATATAAAACAAAAGGGAATCAGACCCAGATCAGGTAAGTAAGATAATAAATAGCCTACTCTCATAAAAAGTGAAGTGGAATGATCTGGATTTTAATAATCCACTTCTGACTGTATGAATAACTGAGAATTAGTTCTGTAAATAAAATCCTATTTCATAGAACAGACCTGAATAACCAAGATCTGATGGCCTACCTAGTTGCAACAAGTAATCTACTACTACTACTATTGGGTAAAATGTACTATTTCCTCTCCACACAAGTTATTCTCTGTTGCAAAAATAACTTAGTATCACTTGCATATCCAGATATGAAGACATCAGAAAGATATATTTGTTCCTTTCTCCTAAACACAGACAAACAGAAACTCCTCAAGTACTCACAAAAATAAAACACGAAGATATTCTAGAATTTTGAAGAATAAAGAAGTGAGAATGTGAGGTTTTCAATTCTCTTCTTCCTCTTTTACCTTTTCCTTATTCTCTAAAGCAGTGGTTTATAAGCTGTGGTCCCCTGACCAAGAAGCACCAGCATCACACAGGAATTTATAGAAATGCGAATTCTTAGGTGGAGTCTAGCAGTTTCTATAAGAAACTGGGGGTCAGGCCTTCAGTACAGATAGTGGTAAGTCCTCCAGGTGATTCTGATGTATGCTAAAGTTTATAGGACCATTGCTCTAAAGCAGTGGTTCTCAACCTTTCTGATGCCGCAACCCTTTAATATAGTTCATGCTGTGGTGACCCCCAACCATAAGATTATTTTCGTTGCTACTTCATAACTGTAATTTTGATATTGTTATGAATCGTAATATAAACATCCACTAGCAGGGTCGCCTCACACCATCGGAAAACCCAGATATTTACATTACGATTCATAACAGTAGCAAAATTACAGTTATGAAGTAGCAATAAAAATAATCTTATGGTTGGGGTCACTACAACATGAGGAACTGTATTAAAGGTTCACGGCACTAAAAAGGTTGAGAACCACTGCTCTAAAGAAATCTCATAAAGTGGGGGTAGACTTTTAGCATTTAAAACCAGTGCCAAAAACTTAAAACAATGATGATGCTCAATGAATATACTCCTTTACCTCTGCTATTTTTTGTTTTGTTTTATTTAAAGCAGTGGGTTGAAAGGAATGTTTAAAAGAATCATTTGTACACATTGTAGATTTTCTCTAGTCTCCTAAGTTGTGATCTCCACCTTTCCTCTACTACTTTAACAACAAGAAATGTTTTCCCCAATGTTAACTAAACACTGTCAGGGAGCAAAGCATTCAGTAAAACACTTATTAAACTTAACTGGATCAATGACAATAAAAGAAATCAGAGTAGGTGACTAAGTTAAAAGTTTAAAAAGACAAAAATTTTAACTGTGTTCTAAAGTCATGAACATTTAGTACTGCACAATGAAAACAGTTGGCCTCTAAGTAGGCGTTTAGAAAATACTTTAAGAATTGTTAGGAGTGGTATTTATGACAAGGCAAAGAAATAAAACAGAACTACAAGTTTACTTTACTTGTAACACACTTCAAGAAATTTTATTAAAAATTGAAACCAAGAGTGCTTTAATTCAGTAGACCAACAGAATGCCAACTGTTCTAGATAGATTATACACAAAAACAAAATAGAATCTCAATGAACTCTTTATAGAGCAGAAAAATATACTTAATATCAAGGTACTTACTTAAAATGTCATCTATATTCTCTGTATCAAGACTTGTTATTTCAGTTGTTACAGGAGTAAAAACCCAAGTTATCTGGAAATTTCAAAAAAGTGAAATTAATAAATGTTTCCACAAGAGGCAAAAAATCTAAAGAGAAAATTTATGAATAAAGGTGGTTCCATTTGTGAGTTACAAAATTGGATTTAAGCAGTATTGTGTACTCTAACCCTGCACTAGATCAAGGAAATTGGATAAATACAACTTCTAGAGCCTAGAAACTGGTTGAATAAGACTTCCTATGCTTTCAAATACATAAAAGAGGTTAATTCTAAAAAATTAAGTAAATTAGGAATTATTCTTTTATTTAAAACACTTTCAACAACTTTATCTCTGTAGCAACACACACACACACACACACACACAAAATTGCCAGATGACTTTCAGTTTTGGAAGAATATAAAACCAAAGCTAAGTTTGCTGATTCTATCCACCATGTTTCTAAAACAAAACAAAATAATAAAAGAATTCAAAAAGACTTCAAATTGTGACCCAAAAGCCATTCTTGCCTCATCTTCATTACTGGTGGTATAATATGTTAAGTGGGAGACTATTAAAAGGAGAATAAGAAAGTTCTGCTTCCACTTTAACATGTCTGAAACATAAAGTTCAAATTTATCAAAGAAAATCATAGCTTGCTATCCACACAAAAAAAAAAAAAAAAAAGAAGGAAAAAAGAAAATGTTAAACTAGTAACTGTTCACTTATTTAAAAATATATACTGTGTATTTTTATCTTTATGTGCTCATCTTTTTTTAAAGTATTTTTTTTATTGACTTCAGAGAGGAAGGGAGAGAGAGAGAGAGAAATAGAAAAATCAATGATGACAGAGAATTACTGATCAGCTGCTTCCTGCATAACCCCTATTGAGGATCGAACCTTCAACCCAGGCATATGCCCCTGACTGGAATCAAACCCACAACCCTTCAGTCTGCAGGCTGATGCTCTATCTACTGAGCCAAGCTGGCCAGGGCTATCTATGTGCCAATCTTTAATACATTATGTGTTCTGAGGCCTGGACAGGTTTTTTTGTTCAAATTAGAGTTTGTGTATGGAAATTCATTCACTGAACCATTGCTCTTTATTGAATAACAATTAATGTCAAGCCTTACGGTGCTAAACACTACTCTTCTGCCCATTTATTCATGGACACGTCAGTACTCACAACAGTTACAACTCAGAAATTTTATAATTCACCTACAGTTCAATTTCTTTTTTATATATATATAAATATATTTTATTGATTTTGTACAGAGAGAAAGAGAGAGAGATAGAGAGTTAGAAACATCGATGAGAGAGTCATCGATCAGTTGCCTCTTGCACACCCCCTACTGGGGATATGCCTGCAACCAAGGTACATGCCCTTGACCGGAATCGAACCCGGGGCCCTTCAGTCCCCAAGCCGATGCTCTATCCATTGAGCTAAACCAGTTTTGGCTACAGTTCAATTTCTAAACGGTATCACCAGACATGTTGATGCTGGTATGTAAATAAGACCAGCTAATTATTTGAAATATTTCTATAAATTTATTGTTTTCTGTATTATTTTTTAAAAACCTCACTATATTTTTCCCATCAATTTTTTTTAGAGAGAGTGGGGGGTGGGAGAGAGAAAGTGGGAGAAAGAAAGAAACAACAATGTGATAGAGACACATCAATTAGTTGACTCCCACATACCTGGGCTGGGAATCAAACCTTTGACCCAAGTATGTGCCCTTGACTGGGAATCGAACCCATGACCCTTTTGTGCACAGGCCTACCCTCTAACCCTGGACCACATTAGCCAAAGCTAAATTATTATTTTCTTAGAAAAAGCCTAGGAATAACACTAGTCTTATTTTCAAGTTAATTACAATAGGGTAAGCAATAGCTAATTAATATTTCTTTTAGCAACCAATAAATTATACTATCCTAAAAGTAAGCTAGATAATTTAAAATCCCTGAACATTTGGCCCATATAACTAATTGCATTATTTTCAACTCCTCAAAACTTTAAAGATGAGACTTCCCTCACAAATCATTACTTACTATCCATACTTCAATTAAGAGGTCCTTCCCTCATCAATGTATGACCTGCTCTATAGATCCCCAGTGTAACCTTTAAAAAATAATCTGAAGCCTATTAAAATTTTTAAGACTTTACTTGAGCAAATATCAATTCAAATCAGGCAACATCTGATCTGGCAAGTAAAAGAGAACTCTGAGGACCTGTACAAAAGGCAAGACATTTATAGGCAGCAGGGGGTGGGAACAAGGAAGTTATACTAGGCAAAAACAATGAGTTGGTTATTGCAAAGTTACTTTCCTTTAGGGCTGTGGTTGGCTCTTTGGCCCCCTGAGTGTGGCTCTTCCACAAAATACCACAGCCTAGGCGAGTCTATTTTGAAGAAGTGGCGTTAGAAGTTTAAGTTTAAAAAATTTGGCTCTCAAAAGAAATTTCAATGGTTGTACTGTTGATATTTGATTCTGTTGACTGATGAGTTTGCCGACCACTGCTCTAGGGGATGACAGAGGTCTATTGGGCAGGTTACCTAACAAGTGCTGATCAGGAAATTCTTTATTGACTGGTTCAAGATTCCATTTCCGAGAGCTGAAACATAATTCTCAGTTTGATGATGTGGGACTTGGCATAGTGACTTCATTTCAAAGCCTGTTGACCAATTATATTGGGTCAGCAAGATTGTGTATTAAAAATAATTCAAGATGATGATGCAAAAATATCATAACACAACAAAATTGGTCATTACCAAAGTCAAGTTAATAGATAACTCAACAGTCTTTAATATGGAGAGTCTGCAGGTACTGAAGGCACAAATGCATCAGGCAATGTATACTAGGTATGCTCTCCCTCAAGGAACTCTCAAAGTAGTAGGGTGTAATGAAGGGAGAAAAATGTGGGAAAAATGCAATAATAATCTTAGTTGAACAATCCAAAAAAGCTCATTTTTTAATAGTTATTGCCTATTTAGAATATAATTCTATATTCTAAATTCAATTGATTTTACATGCTAGGTAACAACAAAAATGAGGCAATCAAGGATCAACTTGGCTATACTAAATGCATAACAATTACTTAAGAAACTTAGTGCTAATAAACATGCAATTGATAAGACTACATAGCTAACTATTGTGGTTAAGAGGGCCCACAGCAAGAAAACTGTCTCTGACCCAATAATCTCTCCTCAGCCGCCTTGGGGGTGTAAAAGGAGGCATTTATCATTAACATTTCTATTAATATGCAGTATTAAGGGAAAGACAGGTTGTTTATTTGAATTGTTAGCAAGCTCCACTAGTCTGACAAATTGCTTCTTTTCATGTCAGCCCTGGGCTGGAACTAGATTCTCCTGGGGAAACATCTTTATGTGTCAAATGCTATAGCAAAATAAAGACAAGTCGCTCTAAACCAGAAAGAGATGAGGGTAGTCATTTAATTTTTAAATTTAGACTTGTAAGATTTTAAATTTATTTTTTTTAAAGGAACAATGAAACCTATACAGAAATTTTGAATGGAAGATCTTGTAGTCATGGAGAATGTGGTTTATTGATGGAATATTTAAATGACATATGTAAATATATAAACATAAACATGAACTGTTTTACAAATTAGTCATTCTCTTCAGTTCATTAGTACATTTTCTTGCCAAACACATACACACACACAGACACTCACACACAGACACACACACACACACACACACACAAAAAAAAAAAAAAAAACGAGAGGCATTTCCAATCATTTTCTATAATCCGTTAGGTAACTGCTTCCATGTACATTTATTGGATCAAATACTAAACATTCCAATCTGAGTTGTGTCTAGTGATATGATCTTACAGAAAAGGCACATCAGTGAAATGGTATATATTGCACCATATTCCTTTAAATAAAGTGACAGACTAGCTTTAAATAGGAGCTTCTGCAGCAAGTAAATAGTATTTTCTTCCATTGCATGGATTTTAAACATTGAATTATCTTTAGAAACTAAAAAGCTCCCATTTCCTTAAATGTCTCTGTACCGTCCATACCCCCCTCGTGATGCCAATACACTGTGGTATTTCTAGTAGTCAGCTGCTTTTCCCAAAAGACACCCAGAAATCTCCTGCTTCCATCTCTGTTTGTGCATGGTTCCCTCTACCGGGAACGTCCTCTTCTCCACTAACGCAGTTTATCCTTCACTCATAGATTCCCTCTTCCATGGAGCTTTGTGTGCTTTTCCTGGTAGAAAATGCTTTTTCTTTCTCAAAAACCTAATCTACTCCACAGAAATAGAAAAAGGAGAAATGTAGGGCAGGGAAACAGAAGTTACTGTAAAATTAAAATTCTGTCTAGATTAGTCATCAAGTTAAAATAAGATACAATGAAAATTTGATTACATGATTAAAGTATTTTAGAAATAAATTTTGGATTTTTTTTTTTTAATTAAGCACTCTATCTCAATGTTAGGCCAGACTTTATTATAGTATTAACACCACCAGCACAGAAAAAATGCTCTGGCACTCTCTGCTGAGCCCCAGTGTTTATTTCCTTTTAAAAAAATACTAACTGAATAAGTCATTAGCCCAACTGGACCTTCTTCAGAGTATGCACTAGCATCAATAACACTTATTGGCAGTGGATTACTAAAGCTTCTCTGTTCATAATTTTATAAATAAATGTTTCTAGCACATTAAGACCAAGTTTTACCATTCAAATATACCCTTAATGGGGACTACGATGACATTCCCTTCAATCCAACCGGACCCATAGAGGCCCGACTAATCTTTTTGAATGCTGATTTGCATATATTAATTCCTCTGCCCAAGAAAAACCTCCAAAGGTGTTTCACTGTCGCCAATACAAAAGCCTAACCCTAGTCTGGCATCAGAACCATTCACAAAGTGGCTTTCCTAAACCACAAGCTACTGCCCCCCATTCATAATGTATACTCATCCAACATAAACTATAGTTAGAGTAACCAATCTAATAGGCCATATTCTTTAGCTTGAGACAAATCCTGTTTATGCCTGTTGCCTTGGAATATTATTAATAGCACTACCCC